CCTAAAACCCTAGAACCCTAAACCCACTCAAGTCTGAAACCAAGAGCTTGGGACTTCAGGCCTTCAAGAACTTACGAGTTTGGGACTCGGGTGCTGCGACTTTTTAGGCTTTTTCTTCTTTGAGTGCCTTTTTGGTTTAGGGTTTAGGCGGGTTTAGGGTTTAGGGCATGACTTAGGGTTTAGGGTTTGGGTTTTTTCTTTGAGTGCCTTTTTGGTTTAGGGTTTAGGGTTTAGGGTACCACTTAGGGTTTAGGGTTTAGGGTTTAGGGTATGACTTAGGGTTTAGGGTTTAGGGTTTGAGTCAAAGAGGCATCAGGGCGTCGCGCTCTTTTTCAGCTTTGGGCGCTGCGTCGTCATCGCATCGACGGAGCTTGACCTTGCAACTCCCCAACCTCTAAGCCCTAAACCCCTAAACCCTAAACCCTAAGCCGTTATCCGCCGTAGTGCAAGCTGATGCTTCGCCTCTTTGTCGCTTGTGGGACAACGCAGCGGGATGTATTATTTGGGGTTTTGGGCTGGGTGAGAGCTTTGGGGTGGGTTTAGGGTTTAGGGTTCCGACTGTCGGAGTAGAAGTTTGCGAGAGCGACTGGGATCAGAGGCGACAGAAGCAAAGAACATATTTCAAGTGTCCACAGTCATACACTATGCATCGCGTGACCCCAGTGCCAAAAGAAGCCCATCCCATGTTACCTCAGACAGCACACCCTCAATCCTGCGCCCTGACTTTGGCGTGTGTAGACCCTTCGTCTGTTTCATCGAATTCAAACCATGTTGCTCCAGGAAGGCTTTTCTCAACCCTGATACCCTGAAAACCCCGAACCCCTGCAAACCGAAAACGCCTAACCCTAAACCCTAAACCCTAAACCCTCAACATCCCTCAACCCTAAGCTCTAAACCCCAAAGCCCTCTGATGCCCCGTCTCTTCGGGCGTTCCTGGATGGTGGGACTGGAGGTTCTCAAATCTCTGGGCCTCCTTAGGTCGATGATGGGTATCAAAGCCTTCTAAAATTTAGGGTTTAGGGTTTAGGGTTTAGGGAAGCTGATACTAGTACTAAGACTACTACCAATACTAAGTCTGATGCTAATTCTGATAGGAATACTAAGACGAATACTGATCATGGAATCAAAGGCAGCCACCATGACCATGACCATCATGATCATCATACTCACCTTGCTGGGGCGTAGAGTTTAGGTGAGCTCGCTTGTGGGTAAGATGCCGGTGGAGGCTCTGGAGCCTAGAAGGTGTAATGTAGAGGCCTTAATAATTAGAATAGGGTTCTGGGGGTCCTTGATATATGTCTTGTGTAATATACCCTAAACCCCATTCTAATCATTACCCTCAACCCTAAACCCTAAACCCCCCCAGATTAGAACAGTGAACAGGCTTTAGGACTTTCGGGTTCGGACTTCTCTTCGACTTCGACGTTGTGGGCTCGAGTCATATGGGTCGAGAGTTTAGGGTTTAGGGTTTAGGGGTTTGGGGTTATTTGGGGGTTTAGGGGTGAACGGGTCGCTGACAAATAAGGAGCGCGCTGAAGAGCCTAGTCTGGGCTTCTGATCTGCAAAGCCTCAACTGCAGCAGCGAGAGAAGTTGTGGTCAGCCAAAGCAATTGCCATAACAATCAGAATCATCAGTCGCCAGTGCCAACCAGAAACAAGCATAACAAGAGTAACTAGCGACAGACTGATGAGAATCGTACCCCCTACAGACCCTGAACCTGCCTGTTGTTCCGCACCTTAGCCCCGAAACCGTACTGGAAGCTCTAGGAACTGAGCCCTCAGCACCTTCTTTTCAAGAGCCTGTAAAAACCCTGAAAAAGAACCCTGTATCCCTTGATGAAAAAACATCAACGCCTAATCAAAGCCCGACAGAGCCAGCAAGTGTGAGCCCGCCACTTTTTTGGAGTCTACCATGAGGCGACCACCTTCCAAGAGTGTAATTTGGGGCTGGGCGGGGGAGGGGGGAGGGGTCCGGGATGTTTGTGCTTTAGGGCATCAGGGATCTGACATTTTGGGTTCAGGGGTTCAGCATCCTACTTTGAATTCATGACCTGGACTTTAAATGGTAGTCCTATTGACTAGCCTGTGCTGACCGAGACTGGTCGCATGGTTCTGTGCCAATCCATCCCTATTCAGCACATGCAGCAGAGTTTCGTTGGCATGACAGCCCCCACTGTCGCGGGCAGTGGAGGCAGTGTAATTATACAAGGGGGAGAGGGCACTCCATTTGTGAACAAGAATCTTCTCCAATACTTGCCACAACACCACGAACATACAACAGAACAGCCCGAAGCCCTTGTCACAAGCCCAAAACCCTGAGCATGAATCCACACATCGACGAGTGACGCAGCGCGAGAAGGAAGCCGAAACAATCGGGAAGCCTGTGAAAGCGCGTGGAAGTTTGGATGGTAGTGCAGGGGCCGTAATCATGAGAATACGGTTTTGGGCCCATGATACTACGCTAATACTAACGAACCCCCAAAATAGTAGTGGTAATTATTTTAGGGCCCTCTATTCATCTCTGAAAGCCCTCCAACTCCTCCAGGTGCCTTCCAGGTGCCGGGTTCTCGCTTGCAGCTCTGAAAACCAAGGTCCTGTGTTCGCGGACAGCCAATGAAACAGGAGGTTCCTCTTCCAGATACTAATCCCTAAACCATAGTGTAGGGTTCAGGCTGTCGGGTTAGGGGTGTAGGGTTCGGGGTTTTCGGTTCGGGCTGTAAGGTGTCGGACGGGTTTCGGGTTAGGGGATGGGTGCCTGCTGAGCAACAGAAGCGAGGAAGCAGAACTACAAGTGCCGAGGAGCATGCGTACTCGTATCAGGGTCTGCGAGCAGGATATCCCCAGACCCAAACCCTACACCCTAAACGGCCCTGAACCCAAAAAACAAAACCCTGAAACCCAAAGCACAAGTTGGCGAAGTTCTGAAACCTTTTGCACCAAGAGCCAAACCTTCATTGCCGGAACACCCTAACTGCACACTAAAACCTAAGCTGTAGCGCGACCAAGCGGGGCCTGGAGATTTTCCAGGAATCTCGGCATCATCCTCCACCGCACATTTCGCACAAACGGCTTAGCTACACTGCGAAGTCAGGTATAGGGGCCTCAATGACTAGAATAAGGCTTCGCAGTAGATCCCTAGCTCAAGTACGGCTCAGTGTCCCCGTCCAACTTAGGCCAGGTGCCATGGATCCCGAAACCCTCCTGTAGTCACGAGAACTGTCTTTCGGTCAGAGGTTTTGGTGGCTCGGGGCAGTACGTTGGCTGGTGCCGACATGTAGGAAATCGTTCTTCCAGCGCGGGTACATACAAGTACTGAAGATGTAGTGAGAGTGCAGTGGGTTGAAAAGATCAGAGGCGATGCTCTCAAATTACAGCAAGCCTTTACACTCTATGATTATCACTACGGCCTGCCATTGCTGAAAGCACCAGCAGTTCTGCTGCTGCTGAGGATGAAGATGATGGTTATGCCTATCATGGTGGTGGTGAAGATGATGACGATGATGATGATAATGATGGTAATGATGATGATGATGATGATGAAGATGATGACAACAATAATCGGGCAATGTAGTCTGTACGTACATACATTCATTCATTCATCCATCCATTCATTCATTCATGCATACCTACATACATGTGCCTGCATACTCATGCACGTACATGCATACATACATATATGCATCCATGCAGGCATGTATGCATACATACGTATACATCAGTACATACATATGTACCTACTGACGTACGTCCATGTGTACGTGCATACATGCATCCGTACATACCTACCTACATATCGGTGCCTCTGATAGCTGCAACCCCAAAGCCTGCGAACCCCGCAGCTCTAAACCCTAAACCCTAAACCCAGAACCCCTAAACCCTAAAACTCCCACAACATGAAGGAAATCCTAAACCGTCTAGACCGGGGCTTGGGGAAGGCAGATTCCAAGGCTTCGGCGACTCGAGCAGTTCTGCGAAAGAGATGGGCGTGCCATTAACGAACTGATGGTTCACTCCGCGATGCGCCTAAGAAGACGCAGAGGAGCTTTTCATAGCATATTTCTGCAGTTCAAGGCTACTGGTAGGGTTCAGGATTTGGACTGACTCTTAAAGGTTGTTATAGGGAGCTTGGGATTTTGGTTGGGTGGTTTAGCGTTGTCCGGCTCGGCTTGAGGAGACTGAGGATGCGCCAAAAGCACGCGATTTGAGACATCTGGAGCCCGTTGGCACATGGCTCGAGATGATCTGCAGTCTCGAGAGGTTTAGGGTTTAGCGTTTAGGGTTTGGGGTTTAGGATTGACTACGAACGTCTGCTGAACTCAATCCTTTTTCACATTGTGGAAGCCCTCTTGCCCAAGAGGAGCAACTCAGAATGCCATAGTTTTGAGCCCTGCAGGGTAGGATTGCTGGCTCACCCGAGGACCCCAAGCGGCCTACGTGTGAGTTGAAGACACCGGGTTGGCATCGACTAGACAATCAAATTTCCCATGGCCCCCAGCCCCTGTTGCTTCTTAAGTCTCTTAAGGCCTCAAGAGAATGATAAAACCTAAACCCTAAACCGTGTCTATATGGCGGCGGTCTCTGCTGCTGCTACAGCCGACTCCAGGGCTGCTGAGCAATGCAAGTTGCCTTATCCTCGTACACTTCTGATGTTTAGGGTTTAGGGTGTAGGGTTTAGGGTATGTTTTCGAGCTGTTTCGGTCCAGGGCGCATAATACCACCATGAAGCAGAGCTATCACCCCAGTTCTCCACCTGGTGCTGCGAGTCAACTATGACCTGTGCGGAGACCATGCCATCAAATGAGCACGAGGAATTCAGGAATTCAGGAAGTGCGGACTTAATGCGAGCACCTGGTAGGGCCGGTCGGGTCTTACTTGCAGGGGGATACCCGGATACCCTCGTATCATGCAGTTCAGGATCTGCAGGAAGTGTTTGTTGAGCAGCAGTGAGCTGCTGCACAGGAACAAAACTGTAACAGTCTCTGGAGCTTGGAAGTGGTAGACGCGCAGAACGCATGCGCGCATTCCCGCACGTGCCACGTGCTACGACTCTCATGTCAGCAAAACGCTCTGAGCGCCCAGCATGTGTCGGAAACTCGGGTATTTCTCGAACCTTGCAAACTATCGGATAGGAATCTACTGGGACCTGGGACTGGGGACACTGCAACACCGGGGTCTCAACGATTAGAATCGGATTTTGGAATACATTGTAATATAGTTGTATTAAGGAACCCTAAGGAACAATCTCCACGACTCTGCTTAACAGCCACAAAACAAAGCAGGAACATTTCCGATCCCATTCTACCTGCAATCATTTTACCACGTTCTGCAGGGAAGCACAGGCATCTAACCATTCGAAACCAACGAGGCCTTTCCGCAGCCACACAGCCCTCAAACCCTGAAGCGCAAGCCGAGACTTCTGCAGCGACTTGGAAAACCACCATCCTGATATTACGGCTGAGCCTTTGAACCCAAGGATCACCCAACACCGTTACCCTAAGGGTCCAAGTGCCTGGTGGTCATATACTCTCCCAAATATTAACCTAAAAAACTACTATCCGCAACCAAAGTACCCTATTATTGGGTCCTTTGGACCCTTAGGGTTAGATCGCAAACGCCATGCAAAGCCTCCGAAACTGCCCACAACATGGAATTCTTTAGGAGGCTCGCAGAGCTAAAAAAAGAACTTCGGGCTCCCTATCAAGAAGATGGGACTACGGTTTAGGGTTGAGGGTTTAGGGTTTAGGGTTGAGGGTTTAGGGTTTAGGGTTTAGGGTTGAGGGTTTAGGGTTTAGGGCCAAAGACCCCAAAGCCTTCTTAACGCCTCTACATTAGACACCCCACTGAGCCGTAAGCTGCTACAGCACCAACCGCAAAGCCCAAATGCTGCAAAACCAGCGAATCTGAACCCAAACTGCTCAATCTTGAGCTTCATACGAGATAGATTTATCTTAACCTGCTGGAGCCTAGCTTCTGGAAGACCATAATACAGACTTTCTCGGTACTCCACAGAATTGGGTTGAGGGTTTAGGGTCCTTTAAAGGATCGGGCTGATTACTTATATTATTTGGTAGTTTCGGCTAAGTCCTGATGCAGAGCTCACCGTAAACCGGGAGGGTGAGGCACCGGCCAACGAGGCAAAGCTAATGGAAGCCTCACTTCTTTCGTTCTCTGCCTGCGTGGCTCTGAACTTCTGGGCGGTTTAAATTGGGGTGTACCTACAACCCTAAACCTTAAATCCTGAAAGCCGCAAACCAGATGATTCAGAGGGCTTTGGGCGTTACGGCTGTGCGTTAGAGATCCGGAGTTTGTCGGCTCTTCAGAAAAGGCTTTGTCTAATATGATGCTAAGTACTGTAGATCTTTTCTCAACCGTGGCTCAGGTTTAGGGTTTAGGGCCTAAACCCTAGATGCCAGGCGCAAGACATTCTAGGTTCACTACATTGAAGTTGTATGGACCAACTCGCCGCCAATGGCAAACCTTTCAGGGAGTTCAGACCCATGTACTGATTGAGACCCGCAGGCTACGGTTTTGGGTTAGGGCCTGGTGTACGGAGTGCCGAATTTGCCCTGTTAATTACCGCCGACATGTGGCTGGATATACCGATTTGGATCCTGTTCATGGCAGGCAATGGGGCCGTTATCATGAGGATCCGATTGCAGTTGAGAGCCTATATGGGAGTTTCTGAAAACAAGGGGTATCTTATTTTGGGGTCCTTATAATAAGGATCCTACTATTTAGGGTACTATATTAGGGTCCCTATTCTCTGAAACCCCCAAATGCAGATCCCGGTGCGCGCCTCTTTCATGCACTTGCCCTTGAATTTGTCAACGAGCTTTTCGATCAGCGTGGACTCATGCGCCTCGACATCTGAGCCGCCACAGGACTCCCCGTCGCTTGCAGGTTACAAGTGGTGTGTATATATATATATATATGATTATGTATATGTATATGTATAAATAAGGGTCTTAATGTCTCAATAATTGGAAAAGTTGTTTATGCTATCAGGGCTTTGAGCGGGTTTCATCGGGTTTAAATGAAGGGGCCTTCGCAACCAGAATGGGATTTTGAGTATAATCTGGTGCAGCTTGTAGCCTAATGAAGAAAAGTATTTCTAGGTATTAAACCCTAAACCCTAAACCCTAAATTCCGACCCGCATGTCATACCACAAAGGCCCAGTGTGCAGCCACGGTGCACCATGGCGCTAGCAGCCTGAGCCCCCTCAACCCTGAATAACATAAGGGGCCTAATTTTAACTACCACTACAGTTTTGAGGGGTTCCTTAATATATTTATCGTATAATGTACCCCAAAACCCTGCTCCAATAATGCCCTCGCGTTTTGGTGCATGACCCGCACATCCAAACCCTCACCGGCACACAGCATCGCCACTGGGTTTCGGGCACGCCACTTCGCTGCCAGCTTTTCTCTTGACTTGTGCTCTTCCCTGCAGTGTGGAGGGGATACATAAAGCTTTAAACACCTGGAAAAGCCTAGTGAAACCGTGAATTACCTCAATAACACCTCATGAATCTGTGTAACATAAGTCCTATAGAGATCTTACAAGACCGTGCAAAACAATAACTAAACACCATCTAAAACTGATTCTACTTATGCTCCTGTCAGATGTGTGGAGGATGTGGGCTTTCTCGTTGCGGGCATCGGCTCGATCGAGTCTTGCAGCCGGACGTGTGTAGAACTGTGGTTTCGACGTCAGGGTTTAAATCCCTAACCCCTAAACCCTAGACCCTAACCCCTACACCCCTAAACCGCGAACCCTACGCCCTAAACTGCCCAAACCCGAACATACAACAAGGCAGACCGGAGACCGGCAAAGTTGGCACGCCCTAATCCCTAAACCCGAAGCCCTGATCTCTGAAACCTAATGTAAGGGCCTTAACAACTAGAGAAAGGTTTCGGGGCCCCTGATACTATGGCTGTAATAAGGAAAACCAAAATGTTATTGGTGATTATTTAGGCCCGTACATTATTCGCCAAGCCCTAATCCCTGAACCCTGGCCTTCGACCCTAAACCCTGAACCCGAAACTCCCTAATATAGGGGCCTTAATAATTAGAATGGGGTTTTGGGTGCCTTATTATAACAATCGCATAATCTACCCCAAAACCCTAAGACAGCTAGACAATTGAATCATGCACAAGGCATCTTTCGCCGTACTCGCCTCAGACTTCGGTCCGCATTACCCCAAAAGCCCCATTCTACCTATAGTCTCCATTGTAGTTCCTTTTTTTGGTTTAACCAATTTTATATTAAGGATTGTATAAGGTATCCCCAAAAAGGAACTACAATGGAGACTACAGGTAATTTTTAAGGCCCTAAAACCCTTGTAGTAGCCCGTACAGAACTCTGTCAGGAGCCCTTTGAGGCTTTAAGGGAACACCAAAACCCTATTCTCATGATTAAGGCCCCCACATGAATCCCTACTTGGAGGTTCATGGGTAGTTTATAAGTAGGGCTATAAGTAGGGTAACTATAATTATAACCCCTATCAGGGGACTTATAACCCCACTTATAACTACCCATGAACCTCCAAGTAAACCCATTTCATGAGCCTTTAAGGAACAGTGTAAAGGAACACCGAAACCCTATTCTAATTATTAAGGCCCCTACCTTAATCCCTGAACCCTAAACCCTAAACCCTAATCCCTAAACCCCTGAAGGCACCTCTTGTCTCCGACGATCTTTGTCAACTTCTCTGCGAAGGACCTGAGAGCTGCCACGATCCGCGGGCTTCGAGGGTGTGGGGTTACGGCTTTGGCTGAGGGTCTAGGGTTTAGGGTTTAGGAGGGTGTCGGGTTACGGTCTAGGGTTTAGGTTTTAGGGTTTAGGTCTTAGGGTTCAGGGTCTAGGGCTCAGGTTTTGGGTTTAGGTTTTAGGGTTTAGGATTTAGGGTTTGGGGTTGAAAATAGGCGCTGTTGGGTGGGTAGATTATGGGATATGACCGTTCATGAACAAGAAGGAACCTGAAGGAATACCAGTCCTGATTTCAGGGCTTGGGGTTGAGGGTTTAGGGCCTAGGGTTGATGGGTTTATGGATTTATTGCTCAGGGCTTGGGGTTGAGGGTCTAGGGCCTGGAGTTTATGGGTGTATGGAGTTGTTGTTCAGGGTTTGGGGTTGAGGGTTTCGGGCCTGGGGGGTTATAGGTTTATGGAATTATTGCTCAGGGTTTCGCAATTAATTTAGAGCCCAGAAGCAGCAAGCATCGAAGAACCCTAAACGCTAAACCCTAAGATGGTGCTTGGGGTATATAAGAACTACTGGGTTTAGGGTTTGGGGTTTAGGGTTGGGGTATACAAGAACTATAACAATGATGATGAGAAAAGAGAATAATACTATTGCTAATAGCAAGAAGAAATAACAGTTACGATAAAAAAAGAGAAAAGAACAAGTCGTCATCATCATCATCGTCCCGGCTCTAGAAGCAACCTGACGGGAGTAGCACTGCTCACTTTCCCTAAGACGATCGAACATCGTCCCAATCACCCTTCGACAGCCACAACAACCGTCATATTGGGGCCTTAATAATTACCTATACGATTTTTTTTTGGGGGGGGTTCCTGATTATCGTTATAGTATAATATGTCCCCAAACCCTGTTCTAATTATTCAGGCCCCTACAGTAAACAAACCTGTAGAGCGAATGCAACGCGTGTCGCCGACCCAAGACCCCGCAATGCCTCAACCCGACGGCCTTAAACCCGCAACCCTGCGACCCCTGAGAACCATAAACCCTGAACTCCCTAACTAAACCCTAAACCTTAACCCTAAACTCCCTAAACCCTAACTAATCCTTAACCCTAAACTCCCCCGACCCCCCCCCAAGGCAAGAGAGAACTCGGTTCGCGAGCATCTCGGAGCGGCCACCCGCCGTAGCACCCGCTGCCTTGCTCGGACAGAAGGGGTTTGGGGAAAATATCGGGGCCTTAATAAGTACCCATAGGCCCCATAGTAGTTCCTTTTTAGGGTTACCTTATAGGATTCTATATATGAACCCCGAAAAGGAACTACTTTAGGGCCTATGGGTAGAATAGGGTCTAGGCTTTTTGACTCTTAAAGGTTGCTATAGGGAGGGCTTCCCAGGATTCTTGGGGGTTTGGTGGGATGCTTTAATGTAGGGGCCCTAATGATTAGAATAGGGTTGTGGATATATAGTACCATAACTATAATAAGTAACCCCAAAACCCTATTCTAATTACTAAGGCCCTTACATTATGCTACACTACAGCTGCAGAATGTACGAGGATAAGACTCTAGAAGGTACTATCTTGAATTTAGCAGTTACTCCTGAAAAAAGAATATATGGGTAGTTGTCAAAATTAGGGTCCCTTTTCGGGTACCCTAAATAATAGGTGCCGTATTATAATAAGGACCCAAAAAGGGACCATAATTTTGACAGCCACCCATATGCCAGGATTATACTAGGAGAATCAGGACAAGGCGCTATAACATCATGTAACCCAGCCCAGGGCAAGGCAACACGACACAGTGCAACAAACTTAAACAATTTGCTAGGATAACGGTTTAGGGTTTAGGGTTTAGGGTTTAGGGTTACTGTAACAAAGCTAACACAGCTTCATACTGTACTAGGATATGGTTAAATGATATACGAGAAAGGTTATATCAGCTACTAACAAGAGAGAGACAGAGAGATCATACGCTAAGATACAGTTGCTAATGTTACATAACCCACCAAAGTGCCTTGATTCCCGGGCTCAGTGGGTGGATCATACTATCGTTGTACTACGGGGGCATCAGTACAAAATAATCCGGCCAGAAGGCGGAAACAGTGGCGAATTTTCGGCATTCGGGCTCCCTACTGTTGATGATATAAATCCTGCCTCACCTTAAGGGCCCAAAAACTATGGGAATTATGGTATATTCCTTGTTATGGCAAATGCAGGATTTATATCATCAACCGTAGCTCAGTCTAGGCACTGTCTGGCGTCGAAAGCCAATCCCCAGAGGCCTCGAGGCCGAAAACTAACCTCTTAGCCTTTGCAGAAAATCAGCACAGCCCGAGTCTGGACCCTATCAGTCAGACGATCCTCACTTTACACGGTCCTCCCCATAGCAAGAGATACCTATAAGGACCTGTAACCGTCGAAAACTGCTTCTACCAAACCAAAGATGATTCCTCTACACGCCAAAAAGCAGGCGGTCTCGAGTGAACCCTGCAGCCCCTGCAAGGCTCTGCATCTGAGGAGAAGCCGCGAACGCGTTGAGGACGACATAGGTTTCATGGTTAAGGATGCTGCAAGGTTTGTCGCTTCGAAGGTCACAAAGGTCCAGGAAGCGACGCCGAACTTTTGCCATCAGAAAAGCTATGAAAAAACCCTAAACCCTGAACCTTAAACCTTAACACCTGAGGCGTAGCTTGTTTTGTGCACGCCTTCTCCTCGCTGCCACTGCGGCTGCGACTGCGATCGCGACGACGGTTTGGCTTTTTGCCTGGATGAAAGACTGGGCCAACATAGTTTATATCGCAAGATGTGATGCACCCGTACGTACAAGCATCCAAACATGCAAACAACCATCCATCCATCCATGCATGCATGCGTGCATATGCATGCATGCATGTACATGTGTACAGGAGCACACTGTTTACTTTTGTATCTCTCCATCTATGAACTTACCCACTTGTGCACCTACCTACACCTGGCTGTCTGTCTGTCCGTCCTCACACATACAGGTACAGCAGAAATACATACGTACACTGTACCCATCCATCCAACCATCAATCCATCCATCCACCCACCCAGCCGTCCACATGCATGCATGCATGCATGCATACATACAAAGAGACGAGTCCTATACATACCTATATATATATATACTATACTATATATATATATATACACAGACACATTTGTATCTGTACATAGTTGCTCATTTACTTGCTGACTTGTTCGTTGGCTTGTTTGCTTCCTTGTTTCGAAACACAATGAGACGGCGGTTCAGGGCCTGGGGTTAGCAGTATTTCTGATTATGCCACACTGCCTTGTGCAACTCCTCAAACCTTCGCACAAACATTCATACAGGCACCAGCCGACCTGGCCAGCGATGCAGGATCTTTCACCATGATCCTCCCTCCATTCTCTCCATCCCTGCCGTCGATCGGGCCTGACATCAGCGTCCCTGGTGGCGCTGGGTCCTGAGGCAAGGAACTTGGAGGTGCCAGCATGCATGTTCCAGCTAGACAGATGGACAGATGCGCAGTCGATAGAGAGGTAGATGGATAGATAGATGGCCAGGTATGATAAATAGAAAGAAGGATATATTCAGATAGATAGATGGATCGATAGGTCCGGGAAGATAGATAGATCGATAGATGGGTACATGCATAGACTGCATAGACACAGAGACTGCAACCCCTCAGCAACAGCGTCCTCGTGCACCAGGCCCGTCGCACAACACACCTACACCTACACATTTGAGAACCTCTCAAGGCTGCGCAGGGACTTTGGAACAAAAGCCTTGGGATGGAGTTGGAAAAGTTTAGGGTTTAGGGTTTAGGGGTCAGGGATGAGTGGGCTTCTAAATTGGTCTTGGGGTAGGTTAGCAGCTCTTGGGCCGTGGGTGTGGGCAGGTGATGCCTAGCATTCACTAGACCCTAAACCTTAAAAATCATCAAACCACAAGCTTGTGTCGGGATTACGACTTCCAGGTGGGGCGCGTGCGCTTCGGATGTTCCACAAGGACACCCGACGATACAGTTCCACGTCCACAGGCGACTTGTAACTCTTGTTGCACACACCGAACAGAGACTGTCAACGGCACGCCCTGACAAGCTCGGAACACAGTCTGCAACAAACCCCCAACTCATTGCTGCAGTTTTGTAGGTATTCTGCACATCCACTCAGTGGCATTCATGTTAAGAAGATGCCAGTCGAAGCATGCTACGCCACATGCTGCCTTGATCCCCGTTCTTATGAACACCAAACCTGCAGCAATTAACTTCGAAATGCCAGGAGTCCGGTGGTTTCTGGGGTCCAGTGCAACAACTCAGGATCAAGGCTTTCAGGGTTGGGGGTGCGGGGCTTCAGGGTTTCAGGGTCCATAATCAGAGTTTATTGAACGTCCGTCCTAACCTCTGTGAAGTGGCAATAGAAAACGGTACAAGATGTATGATTTAAAACCAGAGACGGATTCTATAGTTGGACTACGAGAATATTCCTGGTATGGGTACCATAATCCCTACGAAGCCCACGTTTCGGGTTTGGGGTTCATCCCTACTGAGACCCAATTTGCTAGAACCCTGTTGGCATCCACTTGTGGCCTGTGCCTTTTGTTCTCTTTGACTCTCTTTGGTGCTGCGGCGTCATCGCACCCTCGCACAGCATGACCTTGCAGTTCTGCATGCTCGTTTTAAGGACACGTGAAGCCTAAACCCCAAACCCTAAACCCTAACGGTGCGACTAACTGGCGGTCCCATGGTTGGCCTTATATCTCCCTCACGGGATCGGATCTGAACGCAGAAGCCCTAAAATCCAAACCCAACCCCCTACGCATGTGAGATATGCATATACATTATATACAGCCACATACATACATACATACATACATACATACATACATACATACATACATAGAGTACTACATTATTACAGTAAATACATACATACATACATATCTACATACACACAAAGAAGTTTTGGAGAGTTGGAGTGACCTGTTTGGCCAGAAACAGTTCCTCAACCGCTATAGTGTAGAGACTAATGAAAAACTCAGCTTTGCGGATGCGAGAAACCAATGCAACAAGATGATCACTCCCGAAAATGGCATGGCTTAGCAGACCTTGGCGCATATACCCGAAAGGAACCTGCCGATCTCAGAACGAAACCTGTTAGCAGCCCGCAACGCTTGTAGACTTCCACTTTAGGACTCTTTGCATATCGACACAAATGCGAGCTTGTTGAAAACCAGGGTTACCTTGTTTGGGGGCCTTACAAGAACAATGCCACCCTTCAGGAAACGTAGGGTCTATTCGGGAACATGCTCCAGCAGCATTGCCCTACGCCCTAAACCCTAAACCACTGAAACCCCAAATCTACCCATAGACCCCATACAGTAGTAGTTCCTTTTTGGGGTTACCGTATAGGATTCTAAATATCAACCCCAAAAAGGAACTACTTCAGGGCCTATGGGTAACCCCAAACTTCCTAAGCCCTTACACCCCAACGGATGATAACAAATGTAAATAGTAAAGCTCATGGACGCTCTTGGAGTTCGGAAAGAACCTGATAGGGGTCTTAACAATTGGTACGGGGAAATGAGAACAAGGTTTCGAGCTTTTGGGCAGTTATTTTACATTATCAGAATAAAGGAGATAAAAGGGGATAATAGTATACTGATGATGAGTTATGGCACCCATATACTGTCGAGCTGCAGTTTGGCATCTGTGAGGATGAAGTAGCACCGACCACGAACTCTGAAGCGTCACGCCAAGCCTGGACCGAGGCGGAGACCAATTACAACCTAGGCAACGGTGCTTTGAGAAATTCCAGCTGCATCTTCCTGCAAGGGCTGGGATCGCAGGAGCGCCATGCTCCATCTGCCACCTGCTTGCCAGCCTTCGTCAAGTTCACCGCTATGGCGCATTCCTCATTCCACCTGTGGCACTCCAGGAACAAGTAGCCTTGCTTCTCATGCGGCTTCGGCCGAGCTGGCAATTGGGTAATACCCTGCGCTTTCCGGAGCCAGGCGGCATCTTTTTCCCGGGCCACCACAGGTTGCACGGCGAAGCTTCTGACAACCTTTGGCCTACTCGGGCAATCATCGAACTGGCTGTGTTTACATTTGATGCAGCTGAACGGAAGGGCAGTCTTGCAGTTTCGGGACACCAGATGCCAGTGGTCCACCATTGCCAAGCTTGTACTGGTCAGCTTACGCAAATCAAAGTCTGCCATCGATGGCACAGGCGCCAGATACACGGAATCCGATCGCGCACGGACCCAGGCGTCGTAGCGTATGCCAGCCAACGGCTCATAGACCTTTTCCACATAAGTAAAGGCCTCGACTACGCGCCTACACTGAGAGAACCTTCTCTCTGAAGCACCTGACACGTTCCAGTACGTAGTGTCGTTCCAGTAGTTAGGCATGTCTTGCTTGCTTAAGCAGCTTTCATGCTTTGGCATCGGATAGGCTTCAGGCATCAACTCTATGTGAACAGGCTTGAGTATCTCTTTGCACTGCCTCAGCTCGTTCACATCATGCCTCTGACCGCTCACGTTGTGTCCCTTAGGACCTGCATCAGTCAAAGAAATGAACAAGAAGACATCCACGTGCCATTGAACAGATCCTACCCTGTGTTGGCGCAGGCCATCTACAAGGTTGGCTTTCATATTCTGGCAAACAGCTGGCCAAACCAGCGTCCGAGCACTGCCGATGATCAGCACGGCCACCCGACGTTCGATCCGTTCACTAGGCAGTTCCGCTTTGAGAAATTCCAGCTGCATCTTCCTGCAAGGGCTTGGATCGCAGGAATGCCATGATCCGTTCACGGTGTAGTTGCCAACCTTCGATGTGTTAATCTGTCTGGCACATTCTTGAAGCCACCTGTCGCACTCCAAGAACAAGTAGCCTTGCTTCTCATGTGGCTTCGGCCGAGCTGCCAATTGAGTAATACCCTGCGTTTTCCGGAGCCAGGCGACATCTTTCTCCCTGGCCACCACAGCTTGCACGGCGAAGCTTCTGACAATCTCCGGTCTATTCGGGCATTCGTCAAACTGGCTGTGAACGCACTTGATGCAGTTGAACGGAATGGTAGTCTTGCAATTTCGGGACACCAGATGCCAGTGGTCCACCATTGCCAAGCTTGTACTGGTCAGCTTACGCAAATCAAAGTCTGCCATCGAGGGCACAGGCGCAAGATACACGGAATCCGATCGCGCACGGACCCAGGCGTCGTAGCGTATGCCAGTTGCTGGTTCGTAGACCTTCTCCACATAAGTAAAGGCCTCGACTACGCGCCTACACTGAGAGTACTTTCTCTCCGAGGCATTTGCCACGTGCCAGTATGAAGTTTGGTACGAGTACTGAGGCATGTCTTGCTCGCTCAAGCACTTTTCATGCTTTGGCATCGGATAGGTTTCAGGCATCAACTCTATGTGAACAGGCTTGAGTATCTCTTTGCACTGCCTCAGCTCGTTCACATCATGCCTCTGACCGCTCACGTTGTGTCCCTTAGGACCTGCATCAGTCAAAGAAATGAACAAGAAGACATCCACGTGCCATTGAACAGATCCTTCCCTGTGTTGGCGCAGGCCATCTACAAGGTTGGTTTTCATATTTTGGCAAACAGCCGGCCAAACCAGTGTCCGAGCACTGCCGATGATCAGCACGGCCACCCGACTCTCGACCAAGCCGTTCCCATGTTCAGAATCGTGTTGCTCGGCCCAGAACGTCCACATGCCATTTTTAGCTCGAGCGTGTATGGTTCCAAACTGAAAGCCCACCATGGTGAAAACGCTAGCAACAAGCAAAGTCCATGCCGCCCTCGCATACTTTCCAGACATGCACGACATGATTCGCAACAGGCGATGCAGATGCTACCGCACTTACGCACCCGTGACTGCACACACCTTCCCCTCTTGAGACCTGCATTGTGCATGATGTTGAGAACTTCGAAGCAGTAGAGACTCCAAAGACCTAACATAGGGGTCTTAACGATTAGAACATCATCTTGGGGCGTATTCCATTTCAGCTGAAACAGGAAACTCAAGGTCCAGGTACTTATTCTGCCCCCTCTTTGATTGAACAAGAACTGGCCCACAACCCAAAATCCTGCCCCAAAGCCATGAACAGCAATGCCTTTCAAGTTCATCGTCGATGTATAAACTTGCCAGCCTTTGGGCCATACAACATGCTAAACCCTGTATAGACCCTAGAACAATTTTCAATGCAAAAAACAACCCACAATTTAGGCACAAACCCTAAAGCCCTAAACCCTTAAACCCTTAAATCCTAAACTTAAACCCGAAGCCCTAAACCGACGAGGAAGGATTCGAAAAACGCACGCCTCCCCGAGCCGGGACCTCCGCCTTCACTGATGCGAATACAAACGAAAGCGATGATGACGTGGTTTGTTCTCTAAATTAGGGTCCCTTTCAGGGTCCTTGTTCTAAGGGT